AGCAAAAGATTACATTTACCACACGTTAGTTGGACTTCTTAAATCACATCTTAAGACATCTGATACACTACCTGGATAATATTTGGCTTTCTTATTAAGCTACTTTATGCCACAGAAATAACCAAATTTCCTCATCAGATGTGCCATTATTAGGTTGAGCTTTTATGTAATTTTAATTGAAGTCTTATTGGTCAGAGTTTTGTCATTTATTCTGATGATTTTACTAAAATACATTTTAAGCTGATAAGTCTACCAAAATCTTTTTTACAGCTGTTTGCAAGCATATATAATTGTAATGTGTGTTTCTTCCAGAACATACACAGAAAGCAGAAAAGAATTATCACACAAAACAGATAACGTCAAAAGATCCAGGGGCTAACTCCGTGAGGCCAACTCAGAGGATGGTTTCTTATAACTGTTTTTCTGGAAACATGGACAATTGTCTTCATGTTTTGTTTTTAAACTTTAAAGTAATATTCTTATTCTCTTAAGCAATATACACATTGTAGTGGTTTGCAAATCCATCTTCATAAGCAAAACTGAAATATTTCCTTTTTCTTTGAACTTGTCCTACTAAAATTTGGATGCTATTGGTGAATATTCCTATAATAGGACACACCACTATTTGCATCATTGCAATAACAATCCATTCTTCATGTGTAATTGCCAGTCTTAAAATGATAACATATTTTCAGATGCAACCAAATATTTTTAGGGAACTGTACATGAATTTATGGTACTAAGAAAAGTTCCCTGGTACCTCTAATTGTTCACAAGATATCTGTACTGTTTGACTTTTCTTTATATCTGAAATAACTGATAAAACTGACCTTGTAAAGAGGAAATGTTTTTGTAGTTTATAATTTTAGAGGTTCAAGTACAAGTGTGGATGGCCCCAATGATTAGGTCCCGTGATGTGACAGTCTCAGCTTATGCTACAGTTGTCATAAGTTGGGGTGTCATGTCCACAGATCTCCCTAGGATATTTAGGCTGGTGTTGCAGGGTGGCAGCTCTACATCTGTTGGTGATGCAGGCAGTCATACACCTGTGGTTTTATTGAGTAATGTAGATGTCTTCATGGGCTGCTTGTTGATGTGTGTGCTTTCTCAAGTCGTTTAGAGCATAATGTTGGCAGTTTTTAGTAGGACTTCATTATGCTGTTATGCCTGCGTGTCCAGGATGTCTACTGCAGATATTTTCCACAGCTCTAGTAGGCATTATCCCTGTTGAAACTATTTTCAGGGACTTTAGACCTATGACAAATTTTGTCTAAGCTCTCATTCTTTCCTTTGCAATATTTGTGGAACAGCGTGGCTTCATAAATACTGAATTCTGCACAAGAGCTAAGTTGGCTTGATGCATACACCAAGGTCTTCAACCAACACATGTAGTGCCTAAGCCCATAAGAACCATGAATGCAGTTGTGGAGTGGCTGAGTAACTAAACAAGGTGAATAAACAAGAAGGCAGTCTTTGACAATCACAACAGAAGTGTCCCAGTGTTCCATGAAACAATTCCGTTCTACCAGTCTTGCATGCTCCAGCAGGAAGGGGTTCCTGTGATGAATTCTGTAATACCCACAATACTTTCTTTCCATTGTTCAGTCACCACATGGCTCATTTAAGCACACTGATGTCTTCAACAATCAGTTTATCTACTGTATTCCTTCCTAAACACTCTCATTTAATCCCTCTTTGACCTGGTGTGAACTTTTCAAATTGTTGCAGTCTGCTCTGTTCTCGCCAAATTTTTATTGCAAAACTAATTAAAAACAGCCAATAATATCTATGTCAAATGTGAGTTCTTTCTGCCTTAAAGCCATTCAGCCAAAAAAAAAAAAAACTGCAGTGTAACATCTTTCATTTTAGTCTATCACAAAATATCAAGGCACCTACACAACAAAATCACGTTTTTGTCACAGTGTAAAAAGTGTGGCCTTCAGTCAAATTCCCAGTAAAACCCCACTGTTATCTAAAACCCCATGAATGTTGCCTTTATTGTCTACATTTCTGTCAGCATTTAGGTAGACAAGACCCTATCTTGAATTGGTCTTAGTTATTTCCTAGGTTTATCCAAGGTTTTTTGGAGTTCAGTGAATTTGAGTGAGACTCCAAGATGAGTGAAATGATTTTAATTTTTAGTCCAGGGGAAACCTCCTGCCATAAGTAAGAAGCACCCCAGAATGAAATCAGTGTGGGATGTTTATAGTAAGTATCTATCAGAAAATCAAAAATTACATGACAGTGAGCAAGTACATGCTTAAAAGCTTACAGTGACACAAACAGAAAGCATGTTTAAGAATTTACAATGCATATGTTTGGGGTCCTGATCATGTTACTTCAATGCAGAGAGCAATAAAACAGCATGCCTCGAGGGTAGCTGTCCCTCCTCTAAATCTAAAAACCAAGATTCTGCTTATATCCTGTCTGCTTCCTAGTGTTTCAGGAAGCAGGAACTTTTTCTCCTAACAGGATGAAGAGGACATTATGGAACACGTGAGACAGGAATGAAGACATATTGAGACAGCAAATGGAACCATGAGTGCAAACTCAGACTATTTTAATAACCATCTTTTTAGAATGCTGTTCTGAACACAAGCCATCCAAATTCACATCTTTAAAATATGGGGCTTTATGAGAGACCATTCATCTTAATATCACAATAAACTTCATGAGTAAAGTGTATGTGAGAAATTTGAATCCTTATTAAAAGTCTACACTAAAAACAAAATAAGGATGAATTCCAGGCACTCCCGCTTGGCTTCAACCAGCTCAACCAGGCTCGGGTTGGCCTGGGGCAGTGAACTAGCAGGAAACTTGGCAGCTCAGGCCCAGGCAAGTGAAAGAAGCCTGGGGATTCCTGCATGTGCTTGATCCCCGTGCAGGGGAAGGGATACCTGGCTTGGATGGTGCTGTGTTGTACTGATGCACTGGTCTTGGGGAACTGAAATGTGCTTGGGTCTCTAGTGAGCAGAGGGTTAGAATGCTAAGCTGCACGCTGAAGGACTGGGTCTAGGGAACTGTGCATGCACTTGGGTACCAGGTGGGTGGGAAGGACTTTAAGCAAGCACTCCACCCAGTTGGAAGTCCAGGCTATGGAAAGCATATGTTCTCAGGCCCAGACGCTATGGCTTTCTCAGGGAATGGGGTATGGGATGTGAGAGAAGGGAAACCTCTCAGTGAGTATGTTACAGGTGAGGAAAGACTTCTAGGAGACTTGCATCAACAAGACCACTGTATATGCAGGGAAGTATGGGAACTGAGACCGAGAAATTCTGTGGAGGCAAACTGGAGGGCCTTTCTGTACCAAACCAATGCACCTGCCCATGTCTGAGGTTTGAACTGGGCTAATTAACATCAGCCACCACTGACTACCACCCGCTGGTGCACATGACAGCTAGGATTGTTGGCCTACCTGGCAGGGCTTCATCACAGTACAACCTAATGAGTATCTGAACAGGGGATAGATCACATTAGGCTGGACTGTGACACTGTCATGACAGAGAACTGTGTGCTAGGGCAGATCATATGTAGGACATGTGGGCTCAACTCTGTAAAACTGTAATATCAGCTGGTTTGCTCAAGAGCTAGAGATAGTGAAAAACCAAGCTAGGCATGATGATGGAACTCTACACTCATGGATAATGTGTTTGGGAACAGTCCGTGCTGGTCCAGGTTGCAACACCCACAAGTGTACACAAGAATTGGATGTGGGGTGAGCTGGGGAACAACATCCACTAACACACAAAAGTGCAAAGGCTAAAAGGTGGATTACGCCAAGAAATGATCTAGAACCTATTTACATATGTAAGACCTGAGTCTGGAAGTAGGTCTGATAGAGAAACTTAGGGAACTCCCCTGATGGGTTTCAGCTGCTATTGGTGAGCACATGAGTCAGGGCTAGGTGTTGGTCAGGACAGGCAGGGATGGCCCACATGTTGCCAAGTGTGTGTGTTGGCTCTGTCGAGGTGGACCAGGTAGGGCTTGGCCAAACCATGGTTCATGGGCATGTGCAGGAGCCAGGATGGAGTACGAGCCATGCTGAGATAGGCTATCACACCTACTGGTTTACATGAAAGCCATGGATAGGAGCAAACTTGATAGGGCTGAGCTTCAGCACCCACAAATGAGAGTTGGCACTGCAGGTGGGCCAGGGCAGACCAGGCTGTAGCATCTGATGTCAAAAACCAAGACAGGGGATGGGCTATGCCAGGCTGGGTTGGAGCAACCGCCAGCACATGCAAGATCTGTCATTGAGAGCAGACCTGGTTGGAAAACTAAGGGGATGCCGCGGCTGGGCTAGGATTCCCTCTGGCAAGCATGAGAGCCAGAGCATGGGAACCAGAATCTGGGCTAGACTTGACTGCAGTTTACTTTGGCATGGGTGTAGACTGGGTCTAGGATATGCCAGACTGGGCTAGTTCCAGCACTCGCTGGTGCTCACAATGCCAGAGTAGGTGTAGGATGGGTAGGGTTGGGTCCAAGTCCCTTCTGAGCTACATGAAAGCAAGGCTGGGGAAGGGCAGGTGGGCCTTGAGTCAGGAGCATATATGAACAAGTACATGTCAAACAACCCTTGAATTGCCACACCAAATCTTTGTATTCTTTTATTATTGTTACTTATTTTCTACTTCAATTAAATGACTGTAGAGTATTCGTTTGAATGTATGTACAGGATTTATCTTTTTATTGCCCAACAGACAGCACAATCCTGTCAAAAACATGTCATATGTGTGTGCTGGCTTTTCTAAGCACTACTACCACTAAACTATTCCATATGCCATTTCAACTTGAAACATTGATCCATAAGGAAAATTCTCAAGAGTGTATTCGGTGTATCAAAAGTACATGCATCTTACTTTTTAATTATAATTAGGAGAGTTGGCGCTCGCATTAGGAAACACGAGACTCAATTTTCCAAAACCCTCCCTTGTTCAGTGTGCCATCAAGGATATTTTTTCTTGCCCTTCTTAGAAGTGAAAGACACACCACACAATTTGACTTTGCGTGTCTTTTATTATCAGTAAAGTTCAGAGTTTTCACTTTCTGCTTCATCTACTTAAAACAATTATGGCCATTGTTCTAGTCTCACTGCTTTTTTCTATCAAGGAATCAGTGCAGTTTAAATCATCTCCCTACATTTATAATGCAAACGGTACAACTGTTCTTCATCTTGTCATGTGCTTTTCCTTCACTGGAATTGTTTTTATAAATAATTTTATTATTTTTCCGTTTCTCATTTCTTCATAATAATTAATCAAAAAACACAGAAGGTTAATCACTTTGGAAGATGCCAGAACCTGATATTCTTTAATAGTTGCATTTCATTTTTAAACACACTTGAATAAAGTTACTGCAACATCTTTAAAATGAGCAATGCCATGATGCACTTACAGTAGAATGTAAAAGACTATACCATCGTACGAATATAGAAAGAAATAGTAGGAGGGAAGACATAGAGAGGAAAAGGGAATCCTTATACTTAAAAATTTGCATCCTGGGAAATTATAACAATAAAAATTTTTTTAAAAGCAGGAAAAATGTGAAATTCATGCATATGTAAGGATTTTTAAAAATGTACAGAAAACAATGACATTCTGTTTACAACTGTGACTACAAACCACACTGAACCTGCTAAATGCTAATTGAAAATTTTCAAAATTTAAAATAAGGTGAGTAACATTTTTATGCTAATGAAAGAAAAAAAAGCTTATTTTCATTTCCAGGCATTAATTTTTCGAACCAAGATTTTTCAACCCCATACCAAGTAGCATAGTGGGTAAAGTAGGTATCAGGGAGAATATGTTGCCCAATGTATTTAAGAACCCTGACAACCCTGAACTTTGATTCTTTGTTTTTTCAATCTCTTGATTTAGTCGTTGTATCTGTTCTTTTAAGACGTCAGCATTCTTCTTAGATTCTTCTGCAAGCATTCTTTTTTGCTCCTATAAAATGGAAAGAGCCAACACTTCAAAATCTCTATTTCGTAAAGTCAACATTTATATTTATTGTCAGAAGTTCAGCATGTATGTCTATTGTTCTACCATGTTAGAATACATTCTGAGGAATTTGTCCAACATAAAAGAACTCATGCGGACCTAGAAACAGATAGAGCAGAATCAGGGCACTCAGTGCGCTTCACATTTCACCAGATCAGCTTTGAGCCTTTCAGACCAGAGATCTGCTTCAGGTTTCTTTGACAGTTGCTACGGAAATCTTCACCACCTAGACTGGACCAAGGCCCCCAGTGAACAGAGGCTTAGTGAGACCACCTCATGACATCTTGTAGATGCCCGTGCATCACTAGGATCCAGACTAGTTAGGTTCCCTCTGTGACCATACCGTTGATTCAAGCCTGGTCCTTTCTCTCCCCAAGGATCCTGAGGATTGTCCCTCGGCACTGCCCACACACCACCAGACTCACCTCTAACTTGTGCTTCAGCATCTTTTCCTGCTCTCTCAAGATCTCTTGCTTTTCCCGCTCCATCTTCTCCTGTAGCTGAGCAATGTTTTCTCGGAAACTTCTCTCTTGGGCCTCCATCTTTTGCTGTTGCTCCTTCTCCTTATGTCTTAGCAGTTCCCGTTCCTTCTCAGCTGCCTGCCTCTTGGCCTCCTCGGCTGTTCCACAATTAACAAGAGAAGAAAATCAGTTCTGAGTTCAGAATCAAGCAGCTTGAAAAGCAATGCTGGAAGCAGAAGGGGAAGCCCTTCTCCTGAAACAGCAAGAACATTTTTCAGAACGTGACACAAAACTACTGATGGGCTGAATGTGCAGCCCAATTGCCCTTGTGGTTTTCAGGTGTAGCGCAATGTGTGCCCCACAGTCAGAGAACCCCTCTTGTTCCAGCAAAACCTTCCTGTCCATCACACAAGAGGGCATCACAGGAAACTGCCCACCCTCCTGCTAGGTGCCTGTTGCCCCTGTACCTGCTAAGGCCTTCTGTCCATCAGTGAGTGCTTGGTCTGCCTGCAGGATGGATTTCTCTGTTGCTGCCAGTGACTGCATAAAACTCTGAAGCACCTCTTTTGCCTAAGGAAACAAGAAAGAGTAAAGATATTTTAGACAGAAAATATCTGTCTTTTGAGGTTGAAATTACTGGTCAATAAAAATTAAAATTAAAAAGAATACAAATTTAACTCTGTAAATTCTGCATCCTTCTTAGTCCACCGCAGAAACCCCCAGCTCTTTGGTGAGGTCTGGAATTCTCTAGAGCAGCCTCCTTCCTGGTTGTGCAGTCTCCTCTCCCAACAACGCTGCCTGCCACTACCTCTGCACACCCAGGTCACAGGAAGGAGATTTTTGTGAAGTTCTGTAGACACACATTCGCTGCACTTGCAAGATTTGCACATTGTCCTTCTTTCACATAGATTCTCTCCTACCCTTCCTTAGCTTAAGACAGAATCCATATGGGCCTCGCATGATAGCCCCAGTGGCTAAAGTACTCCACTTGCACACACTGGGATCCGATATGGGCTCTGGTGCATGTCCTGGTGGCCTCACTTCCCATTCGGCTTCCTGCTCATGGCCTGGGAAAGCAGTTTAGGATGGCACAAGGCCTTGTGATCCTGCACCGCATGGGAGATCCGGAAGAGGTTCCAGGCTCCTGGCTTCAGATCGGCACAGCTCCGGCTGTTGCAGCTACTTGAGGAGTGAATCATCCGACGGAAGATCTTCCTCTCTGTCTCTCCTCCTCTCTGTATATCTGACTTTCTAATACAAAAAATAAAATAAATCTTTAAAAGCAAAAAGACAGCATCCATGAACACTTCAGCACGTAACTCTTACTTCCCCTTGCAGGAAGATTTTTTTATTTTAAAATGTATTTATTTTTATTACAAAGTCAGATATACAGAGAGAAGGATAGAAGGAGGGGAAGACCTTCCATCTGATGATTCACTCCCCAAGTGAGTGCAACGGCCAATGCTATGCCGATCTGAAGCCAGGATCCAGGAACTTCTTCGGGTATCCCATGCAGGTGCAGGGTCCCAAGGCTTTGGCCCATCTTCGACTGCTTTCCCAGGCCACATGCAGGGAGCTGGATGGGAAGTGGAGCTGCTGGGATTAAAACTGGCACCCATATGGGATCCCAGGTCCTTCAAGGCGAGGACTTTAGCCACTAGACCATGCCGCCGGGCCCACTGCAGGAAGATTTTTAAATCTACTTTCTGAGGCTATTCTCCCTAGTTTTAGTAAGCTCTGAATGACAAATAATGGTGGTGTGTATTTAAAATATACATAGATGCATTGTAAGGTTCTTAGTATTTTAAAAGATTTATTTATTTTTATTTGAAACATAGATTTATAGAGGGGGGGAAAGAGACGGAGAGAGAGACAGACAGAGAGAGACAGAGAGAGACAGAGATCTTCATTCACTGATCCACTTTTCAAATAGCTACCTCACAATACCTGAATTTCAAGTGTGTAACTAATTCAAAGTAGTTTGGGATACTGATATGAAAAATAAATAAATAAAACACACAGTATCATAGATTGATCTAACAGAGTAGAGATAAGGAAAAAGTCCATGTTTATATGATCAACTACTTTGATTCTTCGTTCAGGAAGATAAACAAAGACAAGGATACCATCTTCAGAAAATGCTGCTGGGAAACCTGGGTGTACAAAAGAATGACATTGGCTCCTTATTCTACAACATATGCAAAAAAACAAATAATAATGATTTTTTTTTGTTTTGATACTAAAAGTATAAGCAGAAAACCAAATAAACAAACAATAAAAACGGATTATGTCAAATTACAGAGTTTCTTCCTAGCTAAAGAAGCAATCTGGGCCTGGCATGGTAGGCTAGCAGCTAAAAGTCCTCACTTTGCACATGCCAGCATCCCATACTTGTGCTGGTTCTAATCCCAGCTGCCCTACTTCCCCAGCTGCCCTGCTCCCTGCCTCTGGCCTTGGAAAGAGTAGACTGTCCAAAACCCTGGGACCCTGCACCCACGTGCGAGACTGGGAGGAGGTTCCTGGCTCCTGGATGTGGATTAGCTTAATTCAACTCTGGCCATTTGGGGCCATAAGCGGCAGTGAACCAGTGTATAGTTCTCTCTCTGTCTCTCCTTCTCTCTGTAAATCTGACTTTCCAATGAAAATAAATAAATCTTATAAAACAAAAATGGGAGAGGTTCTGATGGTGGAGACTAGGAAACCCCTCTGTCAAGACACAGTCCCTGAAGGTGAATGCAAGAACCACAATGGGAAAGAGCCCAGACCAGGCCAGGGAATGGTACCCATCAGCACACATTTGGCACAGGTCAGGGGTGAACCAGGCAGGGCCAGGTTACATCACCCGCTGGCAAATCTGAGCACCAGAATGAAGTGTGGGCACAGGCCAGATTCAGTCACAACACACGCCAGTACACATGAGGCCTTGGACTGGGTGCCAGCCGGGCTGGGCTAGGCTGTAGCCCCCACCAACCATAGTTGGAATTGGGGGGTGGACCAGGCTGGGCCAGGCTACAGCACCCACTGGCAAAAGCCGAGGTGAGGCAAGTCATGCCAGTCTGAGCTGCAGCACACAACCAGCACACAAGAGATCCAGCCGGGAGGGGACAAAGTCGACTGGGAACAACATGGGGTGCCCCGGCTGGATCACTACTCCAATTGGAGAGTATGAGTTGGGATAGACCAGACCCAGCAGAGCTACAACACCTGTTGTTTTCATGTGAGCTGGACCAGGGAAAAGCCAGGCTGGGTTGACTGTGCTGGTGCAAGCATAAGTCTGTTGGGGTTCAATGAATCCAAGCAAGACTCCAAGGCAAGTGAAATGATTTTAATTTCTACTCAATGGCCAACCTCTTGCCATAAGCAAGAAGTGCCTTGAATGAAATAATTGTGGGGATTTTATAGTAAGAGAATCAAAAGCTACATGACAGTATGCAAGTACATGATTAGGGACTAACAGTGACACAAAACAGAAAGCATGTGACAGTCTGTGCTGGACCTTGTGCTGGCTGGCAAGCACACACAAGAATCTGGTCTGGGATCATTTCAAATGATGTTTCTTTGGGGATTCCCCCAATCAAATGGCCAGAATCAGAACTCCAAACATGAAGAGAATTGCAGGTTCCATGGTCTGACCCTGGAGTGCATATGTCAAAGCTGAGCCACCTCAGTGGCTCAAATGGAGCAGTGGACAGCATAGCCAGGTGCACATGGAGAATATGGTAGTACATTGGAGCCTGCATAGGACAGCTGGTACCAGAGGACAGAACAAATTGATCAACTACCCCAGCAAAGTTTTGGCAGTGAAAATCTAAGCAAGTGGAGACACTAAGGTGGATTATGTCAGCCAGTGAATTATGAAATGATTTCGTCGTGCTTGGAATGATGAGATAGGCAGCAATTCAGAACAGTTAAACTATCAAAAACACTTGAGCAGTGCCCTCAGAACCGCCTCATGTCAGGGACCCTGGGATGGATGGTTGGGAGGGTGGGGCTTCTCCCTTTGTCTCTCTCCTTTCCCCAGATACAGGAAGGAAAAAAGAGAATGTGGAAACAATGGTCTTATCCATTTTCCTGTAACCCTTGATCCTTCGAGCCCTAATCAACCATGTAAAGATCATCAAAATAAAATTTTAAAAAAGGAAACCATCAACAGAATGCAAAGGACAGAATAACAGACAATACTAACAGACTATATACCTCGTAAGAGGTTGATACTAAGAATAAGAGTCACACAAAATCAATATCAAGAAACCAATGATCTGACTTTAAAATGGGCAGAGTACTTTTAAAACCATTTCTCAACAGAATAAATTCAAATGATTAACCAGTACATGGATTATGGCAGATGCCACAATCATCTGAGAAACAAATCATAATGAGATCTCAGGCAACATGTGTTAGAATGGGTATTATTTGGGATCAACATTGGGATGCAGCAGGTTAAATTGCCAGTTGTTCGATTCTGTAACCCCATATCACAATGTTGGTTCAAGTTCAGATATTATGCTTTTTACCAAAATTGATTGATGGCATGCCTGGGAAAGCAGAGGATGATGACCAAGTACTTGGGTCCCTGTCACCCAGACGGGAGATCTGGATAACGGTTCCCCAACTTTGCAACAATCCTCGTTGGCTTTGAGGACATTTGAAGAGCGAACCAGGAGATGGGAGAATGCTTTCAGTCTCTTCCTCTCTCTGATTTTCAAATAAGAAAAAATAAATAAAAACAAATAGCTGCTATGATTCAAACAGTAAAAACTGTTGGCAAAAACATGCATAGAAGGGAACCCTTGCTACTTGTTGTTGGAGTATAAACTGGTATCACCATTACGGGCACAATATGAAGCTCCCATAAAACAATAAAAGTGTGATTCTACTGGTCACATGTATGAAACTGCCTCATCCTCTCCACCACCTGCTAAGCATTATCTTAGGGAAACTTAACAGCTTCTCTATGCTTTGCGTTCCCTATCTACATAAGAGGGGCGATGTTAATACCAAATTCATACTTTTCTGAGAAATACATTGATAATTTCATAAAATGATCCAAACCTTACCTGGTACAACGAGTGAATGTGCAGTGAATGTTAGCTGCAAAGGTCATCAGCATCAGTATTGTTACTGCCAGTGCATACCAGCATGGTAACCATATACAGAGTACAAAGAATTTTCCACCCCAGGTAACATCATGACTGTATTGAGAAATATTTTCTATATTTAGCAAAAAAAATCTGCCCTTTTGTTTCACAATTCATAAATCCTGATCCTCTTTGGAAAAAAGCACGGAAATGGTTTAAATTATGCATAATAGAAACCCATAAAGTGTGCAGATATTGCTACACCAGTCTGCTTTCCACTATTCTAGCAAAATCTCACAAATAGGTTACTTTATAAGAGGTTTATTTAATTTAGTCTGGAGGTTTAAGAGCACACCCCCTTTATGCACATGGCTCTGGTTAAGATGGCTCAGACTCTCAGTGAGGACAGCATCACTACACAGCATGTAGAATGGAGCGATCAGATTACCAGAGAGGAAGGCAGAGAACGACTCAGGGGTCTGTCCAATTTTTATAACACCTAAACTACCAGAACTCACACAGGGTTCCATAAGAACGTCTACATTAATTAACTTCTAAAAGCAGCCCTCAGGGACCTAAGAACCTCCTGTTAGGCACCATCTCCAAATGATCTCATCACGTATCACAAATCCAACACATCAACGACCAGGGGGACAAAGCACTCCCAAACCACAGCCATTGCTCTGCCTGCTCTCCACGATGAGTCTGTGGTCCTCATTTTCAAAAGCAGCATCAAAGATCCCTTTCCTCTAGTCCCTTGCACCCCATTCCTCACCTTCACTCCTTTCCTGGGCACCAGCGCAAACTCCTGTTCAACCTTTTTCCTTGCTTCTAAGTAGAGATTGTGCCCTCCAGGAACAGAGAATGTTCCTCCTGAAATATTTTCCATCAAGGACTTTGAAAGCCGCTTAAGCTCAGCTTGGCTATATTTGACAGAAGCATCTTCATTCTGCAGCAAGAAATCTTCCTTCATCTTTTCTATGGCTTCCTGCCAGGGAAACATGGGAATATGCATTAGAAAGAAACCATTAGCAGGGAAGTGTCACCTGTGGCACACAGAGGAGAAGCATTAGGGTGGCCCATGGGTGACTAAGACCTGAAATGGACCAGCAATCAGGAGACATGCTTCATTGTTGCTTCTGATCATTCCTGCTTCACCTTTGTAAAGTCTCTTGATGATCCAGGGGACAGGATCAATATTGTAAAACAAGAGCCAATAGACCTGAGCTGTGAGGTGCTTTAACACACAAATGACAGTCACCAAGAATAAACACCAGAAAGTTGAACTCTGGCTCAAATTCAAATTTCCTCAGAGCCTTTGAATGGAGATGGACAGATATATGAATATATATGAATATCTGAAAACCAAACCTTACTAGTTGGTTAAGTGTACATTGAATCAATTTTAGAACTCTTTATGAACACTTTTTGTGGTGGCTCACACTTTTAAATATACAGGAACAATTTTGCTCATACTTGAAAGATACAATCCACCTGAGTTTTCTTAATACAAATTGAGAGATGTTTCCTTCTTTTGAGGTCCAACTCCAACTGACACCTTCCATCAGTCTGCCTGCATTAAACAAAAACCCTAGGTAACATGGTATGGACACCTGCCCTGCAAAACTGTGTGACAGTAATAGATACTCTTTTTTTCTTTTTTCCTTCCTTTCTTTCTTCTTTCTTTTCTTCTCTGTTTTCCCTTTCTTCCTTCCTTCCTGCCTTCCTTCCTTCTCTCCTTCCTTTACCTTTTAATGTGTACTTTTTTGAGGGCTAAGTCTATGATAATTTATTTTTGCAGCACCAGAAAATAAATTGTCCAACTTTTAGAAAATGTGTGAGATTTAATTCCCAGAGCTCTTACTCTTTCTCAAGAATCCTAGTCTATGTTACCATGTTAGGGAGATGATCATGGGAGCAAAACAGTGACCTTAGGCATCATTGCAGTAAAGAGGAATCTGGAAGGATAAGTGCTGAGGTATGTACCGCAAGATTCTTCTGAAAGTTCTGGTTCTCATCCTTGAAGGAGTGCTCCATGAATACTTTAATGGCTTCCTTCTCACAGGCTGTGTGCACGTCCAGCAGCTCCTGGAGTGTGTCTGTGGGGAACATCACTCGCTCAACCATTTGTGCCATGTAGTGGGCGGCTGCCTTCTCCACAGCTGCAGTGTTCTCACGTTCAGCCAGAGTTGTCACTGCGTTCTCCAGGCAAGGCACTGCTCCACTGTTGATGGCATTCACGTACATCTCTACCAGACAGCCCAGTCCTGAATAACACATGAGTGTAAGAAGTAGATAGTTCTCACTCTGTTTTCACAGGATTTAAGAACCAGCATTTTAAAATAACAAAAATTCCATTTACCTTCCAGCTTTCTTTCTACCTCCTGCTCTTACTCCTTCTCCTCCTGTCCCTTTCCTTCATTCTCCCACTCTTTATTTTCCTTCTATCTCTTTTTCAATCCTGCTCTGTCAATCCTCCCCTATATGATAACATGCGTGATATTTCTAGTTACCCTTTCTATTATGGTTCTCAAATTCAAAACATTGCAGAAGTAATTTATTTATTATACAGAATATAATTTATGGCTTTCTAGAATAATATTTTTCTTTTCAAAGAAACAAGTTATTAGACTAGGAAAGGAAACTGCATAGTTTTCAAACCCTCATTCCAAATAAAGTGCTAATTCCTTGATTTGAAAAAATCCTCAGGAATTTGCAGCTTGTCCCTCAGCATATTCAATCAAGCATCAGCTGATACAAACATGGTGGCCATGCTATTAAGCTGGCACAATTGGTGAGATTACCTTTAACTTTTTCTCATAAACTCCTGCTAATCTTGCATTGGATCCACAGATTATCCTTTATATTCTGACTGGTACTAATTTCTACAATATTTTGTGTTTCCTCCTGGATAATACCTTACCATATAGGACCTCTCTCACAGGCAGATTTCTCTCTAACATCTTTCGTGTGCATCATTTGTTGATTTACTTCATGAGATTGATGAGGCCTCAGTAAATACACATGGAGGGAAAATTTAACCAAGAAACATCACTTTTAGTGTAGAAGGAGATTACCTCCTCCTTTATACTCTGATATAGATGCAAACATAATGATTGAGATACCCACAGAAGAATCATCTTTATCACACACAGCAAGAAACATGCTTTGACACAAAAGCAACTCACTGTGTCCAGTGACAATGATTCCATGTCTCAGGGTCTTGGTCTTCCCACATGTGAAGATATAGTTGCAGAATTGAATTGACTGCTTTTTAAAATTTGATTCCAGTTGGTCTTCTGGCACTTCTTCAATATGTGCTAGTAGATTTTTATCACTTGTGGGCCGGTCAAAGACAAAGCACTTACGTTTTGGAAAGAAATATCTGATACATGTTCTAGGCAAGTTGGAATTTTCAATTCTAGGGTTCTTTCCTGTAGAATTGCAAAAGGACACTAAGTGAAGAGACGGCCTACAAAGGGGCTGAGGACATTTGAAGCAGTCTTTGTATCACTCTAGCTCCTGGACCGATAAATTTTCCTTTCCAGTTTTACACAAAGCTGAAAATGATACTGTTGAGAGGAATAGGAGGCAGGTGAAGAAACTGATCTTCGTTGTCCTGGGTAGAGTAACTATCGTTTTGAAAACGTAGGACTAGGTCTGGCAAAGCCAGGAACCAAAAGCTCCATCTCTATATTCACTGTGAGTGACAGGAGCCCAACAGATTAGGTCATCTTTTGATGCTTTCCTCAAGCCATTAGAAGGTAGCATGACTGGAATTGGAATAGCCAGGACACAAACAGGTGCCTATATTGGATGTTGATTGGGCAAGAAGCTGCTTTACTCTGTCATAAAACTGACCCTAGAGTGACCATTTTAGAATATTTCAAACTAAAATATTACAAAAATTTTTAAGAATGCATCTGTGATGTTGGAGTCCTGTGTCAGAACTGAAACATGAATTTTAAGGAAATGTAGAAATAAAGATGAGATGCTTCTGGAACAATAACATGAGAACCAATGACTTCAAGTCACTAAAGAATAAATATTTCAAAATTATAGCTAAAAAATATACATACCATTATATTTACAATAATTTTAGTAGTAAACTTTAAAGTAAAATAATGTAAATATAATTGGACAGTATCTTGAAAAGGGATTTTGAGGCACATATTTTAGTCAAAATAAATAAGTATGAATAAAAGAATAAACTAAAATGTGGTAGTCCCTCAAGGTCCATTATTACTCTTCTAAATATAATCTTCACGATAAATTCATAATATTGAAGTGATAACATAGTGCCAAAGGCTGCAGGGTGAAGAAGGTGATGTTATGAAAAATGACAAAATGAAAAACTTAACCATATTACTGGAGGCACATAGCAGTGTTTTCCACCACTTACACCCTGCAATATTGAAGATGTAAGTATGCTTCTAGAAAGAATGCAACAGTTGGGCCCAGCAGCGTAGCCTAGCTGCTGAAGTCCTCACCGTGAACACACCGGGATCCCATGTGGGTGCTGGTTCTAATCCCCACTGCTCCACTTTCCAACCCAGCTCCCTGCTTGTGGCCTGGGAAGGCAGTCAAGGATAGCCCAAAGCTTTGGGACCCTGCACCTGCGTGGGAGACCTGGAAGAGGTTCCTGGTTCCCTGCTTCGGATCGGCGCAACACCGGCCATTGTGCTCACTAGGGAGTGAATCATTGGATGGAAGATCTTCCTCTGTCTCTCCTCCTCTCTGTATATCTGACTTTATAATAAAAAAATAAATAAATAGTTTTTAAAAAAGAATGCAACAGTTGAGGAATGCAAAACATAATAAACGATATTTATTTTTTTAAATTAGGCTATTTGATCTCCTAGTGATTTTATATTTACTAGCTTCCTAAGTAAGCTATTTTACTCCTGAGTAGGAGGAATGTTCAAATTTATCAAGTAACATAGATATACGAGTCTTACAAGTGACAGCATAGATTGTAGTTCTCACTTTTTATTCACAGTACCAATAGGCCTAAAATTGTTTGATACAGCATTGAGCTCCAGCGTCTGGGATGGTAGCCTAGTGGCTAAAGTCCTTGCCTTGCATGCACCAGAATCCCATATGAGCACAAATTTCAATCCCAGTGGCTCCACTTCCCATCCAGCTCCCTGTTTGTGGCCTGGGGAAGCAGTAGCAGACAGCCCAAAGCCTTAGCATCCTACACTTGTGTGGGAGACTCAGGGGAGGCTCCTAGCTCCTGGCTAAGGAATGGTCAGCTCTGGCTATTGCAGCCACTCCGGGAGTGAACCAATGGATGGAAGATCTTTCTCTCTTTCTCTCCTTTCTGTGAATCTGAGTTTCCAACAAAAATAAATAAACCTTAAAAAAAAAAAAAACCTGAGCCTTAAATGTCCTCTCCAACTAATTCATGAAATTTGCTCTATCTTTAGTAACACATTTTAAGAGAAAAAGAGAATTAATTTCCTCACAGTTTAAGTCTCGTTTTCTGAAAGTTTTCAATAATATTGCTAAAATCATGGCCATCCATCAATCAGTGGTCACCAATACCATAGGCTCAGTTCAGTATCAAATAAACATTTATTTCAAACACTGCAGGAGAGTCTTTTGGGTCCCACCTTGTAAAAACTCAATTAGCCATAACCAGACCACACTCTCCTACCTGGAATCAGCTTCAAGGCATTCTCTAGGTACTCATCTTCTGTGATGGGCCTTCCATTTAACTTCAGCTCCAGGGTGAAATCCCGCACAGTCCAGACAAAATCTGGAAAGAAACTCACAAAATCTGTGGAGTCTTCTACTTCATCAGATATGGGCGAAGATCGTGCCCTGATTAACTGAGTGAGTTCAGTCACATAACTAGGATCTTCATTAAGGAAAAACACCCTACACCAAAATTCCAGGCTACACTCAGAAACAGATTAGGCAGGTTTCCCCTTTAACCCCGAATCTACTCTCACTCAACTTGGAAAACTGTCTCTTATTCATCTTGGGACTGAGTCACATAAAGAAGAAACAACCTCAGCTGCCATTTTCCCAAACTCAGTGACACTTGGTGGCTGCTTTCCTGGAAGGATACTGTAGCTGCTCCAGGGCCTGGTGGTTGATGGTGCCCGTGCTATTGTAGACCAAGGTGCTGCTCAGAAGCACAGCCAGGGCAAAGATCCACGAGTCATTCTTAGGGTCTCCCTAGATTGCACAACAGAGCCAGAGACTTAGACATCTATGCTTCATTCAGTCCTCATTCATCCATTTGGCTGTTTATTCACTCTTATAATGGTTTTTTTAGTTGAATAATAAGATAAATAACAGTTGTAATATAACAAGAAAGATAAAATGTGTTTTTTTTAACTGTATACTAAACACATTTGGGGCATCAGTTTGCTCACAAAAAAAAATCCATGGTGTTCTGTCATAAAATACTTAGTAAAGAGTTTAACATACAACTCAACTTATAAGTCTACCAATATTGTGACTTTTCCTTAAATAATAACTATACTATAATCTATCAATATTGTAACAGGTGACTTATAGATAACAGATTCGAAACTGCAGTAGACATTAGCAAAAACTATAGAGACATACAGTGGGATCCTTGAGTGATCCTGACTGTCTCTTAACAGGAGGTCATATACACAGAGCAGGAGAGGACCCCAGACTGGAACAGGAGGAAAAGAGGAGGTCTGTACACTAGTCCCAGAGAACCCTGGAAACCTCCCACGTGCTTTCCCCACAGAAGCAGTGGATACTTCATCAAGGATTGTGAGTATGGGCACCAAGGACCATATCCTGACTGCCAAGGAGATCACAGGGAATTTGAATAGCCTTGTAGGCCGAGAACTCTGAGGTCTGCCATTTCTTACCAGATCTTCCACATGGAATTGAAGCAGCCCAGAACCTATCTCATAGGGTCTAGTGACACAGCAACAACAGCCAGGGGCCTCTGGTGGTCCGCAGAGATAGAAGAATTATAAATTTCCTTCTGGACTCAGGAGAGGAGCTTTCTCTTGTCCTTACTTAATTCCAGCTTTGGCTCCCCATCCCTTTCGCACTGACCATCAGGGTCACTCAGGAGCCCCAAAATTAGTTCAGATTGACACAGAGATACTAATATAGAAAGCTTTGAACAGATAGGAAAAAGTCAGCTAGCATATAACTTATATGCTCAACCTGTACCTTACTGGTCAGGCTCCCGATTTGCTTTTCCTAGAACCCACTAGGTAGGATGCAGAGTTCAGTTATTCCTCACTTGCTAAGTTATTGGCGATTTCTCTGCACACCTGCCTGAGACTGTTCTATGCTTCAATTGTTAATATTTGGCTTTCTAGAGTTATAAGTCTGTGTTGATTATCCTAAAATGCATAATGTTCTGTAAAAATCTCTATCTTGAATACTATAAACTGCTAAATATAAAGATAATTTTTAAAAGAAAGAAAAATTATAACTATAGTAAGGATACAAATCCTATTCAGAAAATTTCCTCAACACTTCACTGGGCCAGACTTTGCATTTGTTTTGTATATATAAAGTTCCATTTGGCAATCTCTACCCTCTTCTTGAGGTAGCTTTTCAGAGCAGCAAGCAGGTCAACATATAAATGTTACCAAAATGATCATCTTCACCATGAGTGCAATCCAAATTGTACCAAAAAAGTCTTGAAGAGAGGGAGGCCTACATATGTGAACAAAGATTCTGAATTCAGAACGAGAAGGGATTCTGTGTCACTGGAATATGAACATACCAAGTGGAAAACAACTGAGTCGTACATATCAGATAGAAAACAGATCTGTGGAGATGAAGGGCTCAATCAAAGAACCAATAAAGGCCAAGTTAGAATCATTAGTGCATAATCCTATAACAGAATTGCCATGCTATTCCACTTAATGGAAGCAGTGCATATGGACACTGAAATGCAATTCACAAAAGAAGTGAAAGGCGTTTCCTATCACAGCACAAATCAAAAGTTAAGTCTTCACTTTATATTTAGTTTACTTTGGTTCATCAACAGCAATTAAATCAATAGGTGGTTCACAAAAATTACAATTTTGCAAAAATATAATGTCCATAATGATTATCTTAAATAATAATCAGTCACCTTAAAACTGAATTTTTAAACTCACACTTTCCAAGTTTGTGTTTCCCTCCCATCCTATGATAAGGGAATTCCAATATAAATTGATCCTTGTTGATGCCTTTCCTTTCAATTTACACTTGGACTCATAGATAAGCACAAAATCATTTCACTCAATCTATAAAGCATAAATAATTTTAACTACCTGATTATTTGTTTTGTGCATATTTCATGTTTTCTTTTTTTAAAGATTTATTTTTTTATTAGAAAGGCAAGTTTACAGAAAGAAGAAGAGAAAGAGAGAAAGAGAGAAAGATATTCCATCTGCAGGTTCACTCCCCAAGTTACTGCCATGGCCAGTGCTAAGCCAATCTGAAGAAAGGAGACAGGAATTTCTGCCAAGTCTCCCACATGCGCGCAAGGTTCCAAGGTTTTGGGTTGTCTTCTACTGTTTTCCCAGGCCACAAACAGGGAGCTGGATGGGAAGGAAGTGTAGCATCCAATATGGGAACCTGGCACTTACAAAGCAATGATTTAGCCACTGGGCCAATGTGCCAGGCCACTAGGTTATGTTTTCGAAGAGGTCACTGCAGGATTCATCAGAGACTTGGTCAAAAAACTTGATGGTAAGGGGCCAACATAATGGAATACACCTCTTGCTACCCTCACATTGTCTTTAGGCTCCAGTTCATATCCAGATTTCTCATTTCTAATACAGCTCCCTGCTAATGGCCTAGGAATATTAGTGGAGGATAGCATAATTTTTGGGTTCCTGCCACCCACCCAGGAGATCTAGAAGAAGCTCCAGGCTACTGTCTTTGACCTGACTTAACCCAGGCTATTGCAGTCATCTGGAGAGTAAATCAATGGATAGAAGATCTGACTGTGTGCCTGTATGTGTGTATCCCTCACTCTGTAACTCTTATTTCTAAAATAAAGAAATAAATGTTATAACAAACATAAATTTTTCCAAAGGTTGCTACTATTTTTCTTCACAGAGACCCAATTTTCATAGTCTCTGTCTCCGTCCACACCATCGCCAGACAATTTAGTAAAACCCATTGATCCAACAGAAGAGAACTTTCTCAAAAATCCCAAACTCAATGTCTGATTTTTCTCCTATTCTTTTCACTTTTTTGTCAATCTGTGCAGGATACCTTCCATACTTCTCTGTAGCCAGGCTCTATCCATCTTGTACGTTGCTATACCTGAAGTACCTAGTGGGGAATTCTAAACTGACTTGTGCATTAATATCTGTTAACTAAATTATTTACTCCAACCTAAAAAAAAAAAAGAATCTCTCTCCATCATACATTGAAGTAAGGGATTACTCAGGAAGCTTGTGAGGAAAGCATGGAATCTCGTTGCCTATTATTGAATTTGCAGTCCATGAAAATGTGTCAGAGTGGCAAAGTGATGTGGCGAATTAAAAATGTATGATTGCAGTCAGTAATAGAGAACATTCTGGGTCTCACCTTTTCCACATCACCCAGGCCTTCAGTATCCAGAAGGACCAAAGTGTGATTTGGCTTGGAGGGGTGGGGCACACACCACATCCAAATGCCCTTGGTTTGAGATTGCACCGTGGAGCCCAGAGGGAAGCCTGAAAAGAAGAGGAGAAATAAAACCTGAGAGCAGATTGACCAAGATGGCCAATGGTTACATTCACTAAACCTGTAGGAATTTAAGTGCTAGTCAGAAAAGGGATTGCTTCTATTCTGGAAAGGAAACTTCGTCCTAGACATAAAATATGCATATGATTTTCTCAAACTATGTCACATGATAGAACGAATATATCCAGTAATCTATATTATTTTTCTGACACTAAAGAGCTATTGGATAATCTGACTTCTTATTGAGCTCTATCAGATGGAAGCCTCACAGGAGAATGATGGCAAATGCATGATCCCTCAGCTTCCAACTTGTTGGGCCTCAGTGTCCCAATGGCTTATTCTGTGTCACATCACAGCTCCTTTCATACAGCTACATCCAATGAGTTTCACCTTATCCCACCAACTACTCCTTGCTTGTCTTTGTGGCATAGGATGGTAATATCCAGCTGTCCCATTTGATGCCTTTCTTTGAGTGCTTTGTCACTTTTACTGCTTCTCTTTACCTATGCCCTTATAAGTATACCCTCCATTCAACTCTCTTCGATTATCTTTTGAGTGGTTTATATGTGTCCTGCCAGAACTTCAAATGATGATTAGCTTTTGCATCAACCCCCTCTCTCCCTTCTCATTTTACTCTTCTCCTTTCTCTTCTTTGGCTAATGGTAAATTCCATGCTCCTTCCTTCAAGAGGAAGATATAAGTGAAGAAATACAGAAAAGAGCTGTGAGACTAAGCTGACTGTCCTTCCAAAGGCTCAAACCCACAAGGAGATGATTTGAAAAACATGCCGAGGAGCCAGTGGATGGCATTTTCTATCTAACAATCCAGGATTTGGACCACCTGTCATTTATTAAGGGAAATTGATGTGACTACGTATCTAAAAGTGTGTGGTCATCTTGGTTCAGGTCATTCCAATTCCACGCCCTGTGAGGACAGAAAGCCAGAGATGCTCTGGTCATTTCTACCTTGTCATGATATCTGACTGTTAACTGACTAGTAGAAAATAAATGCAACACTCTGTGCTCCCACTTAAAAAAAGCACAAGATGTGAATGGAGGTGATACCTCATAAACTCAGTATTAACAGAAAAACAGTATTAAATGATAAGTTGGCACAAATGAAATTTTAAAGCTTTTTGTATTTTTTTTCATAATACACAATTTCTATGACTGTTTCGAAGATCTCTCATATTCATGAATTTGGAAAAAAATGCAGAAAAATAAACTCACCTTTTAGTTCCATGTTCTACAAACCTTTTTAAGTGACTTCACTAAATCACAGATACACGCACACGCATGCAAACAGACCCAGTGAATCACACACACACAGAGATAAAAATGGCTATATAGCTCTCCTTGGAGCCTGATTTGGAAGCAAGTTTCTCTCTCTCTCTTTTTTTTTTTCTAACACAAGGCACAGTGGTGAAGTCACAGTTCAATGCTTAAAGCATTTTGGGACCAGAAACTCATTTTTACTTGCATAGAGAATCGGCCTCGTTCCTTTTAAAGACTACCTTGATGGAACTACTCCAACATTGTTGAGAATTTCTTTCTGATACCTGTCAGAGTTCCCAACCCTGTCTTCCTTCAAAGAATCTCCTAAAAATTGATGTGATTCAAGGATGACAAACTATATTCCCTGACTGATGATCAAAACTATCTCTAACACAAAATTAAAGTGTGGTACTTAGGATCCAAAGGAAGATTGGAAACAAAAGCAAGAAAAAGTAAAGAAGGAAATGAAGAATAAGAAAGTTGAAGGAAGGAGAATGGGATGGAGGGAGAGCAAGAGACAAAAACATGGTGACCAAGGAACCTTTGGAGTTTACTAGACAGAAGGACAACCGACAATAGTGTTAAGCCAGAAAGCAAGTCAACCATGGGGAGTAGGGGAAATGGTGGCATGATTTTGCATACAGAAAGACCAAGTAGGATGATTTGCGCATTGTCACCAAAGTCTGTAAAAGTCAAAAGAGACCATTGATGGGGGAAAAAAGGAAGATTTCACAAAGTGCAAGTGGAAAATTCATATGAGAAAACATACTACAACAGTCACCACAATATAATTCCATGTGAACTAAGTTTCCAAAAAGGCCTCAGTGAGCCGTTGTTAGTACACATACATAGTGGAAGAAGTATGTTTGGAAATCCAAAATATTGATAAGCTATATTGAGAGATTAGTTATTATGATTGGAAATTTGCATGTTGGTGACATCCTATGGATTTATTATGCAAACATTCTCTTTATATTTATTTAGTTTTTAAAGATTTCTTTATTTATTTCTAAAAGGCTGATTTATGGAGAGAAAGGTCTTACACCTGCCTGCTAACTCCCACCTTGGTCTCAATAGCTGGGGATCCATCAATTTAAAGCCAGGAACCAGGAGCCAGGAGTTTCTTCTGGGTCTCCCACATGAGTACATGGAACCAAGGATTTGGGCCATCCTCAACTGCCTTCCCAGGTCACAAGCAGGAAGCTAGGTATGGGACATTGAGCAGTCAGAACACAAACCAGTGCCCATATGGGATCTGGGCACTTGGATGTGGAGGATGAGCCATTGGAGCTATTGCACCAGGCCCTCTTTATATGTATTAACTTGATGTACATGTGTGTTATTCAGTCTTCTCCAAGTGTTATAGTGTACATGTTGGAAAAGGTGATCAGACAAAGAGAAAGAGATGCATTTTATTATAACCTGAGGCAAAATAAAATACATTCTAGTACAACTTAAGTATTAGATACACATGTAATTCTCGGTACATGCTTCTGACTATTCACTTCAAGTTTGGTTTTTTTTTATATTGATTACATTGCATCATGCGACACAGTTTTACAGGCACTGGGATTCCCCCCTCCCCTCCCCAAAACCCACTCCCTCCCCCATGTTGGATTCTACCATCTTGTTGCATTACCACAGGTCAAATTCAGTTGAGATTTTTTTCCTTGCAAGCATCTACAAAGCATAGAGTCCAGCATCTTATTGTCCAGATATGTTCAACAGTTTCATGAGGAGACATATGTCTTGTTACAGTTATGGAGTTAGACTACCCAAAAAACAGCCAGGTTCTGCAAAATCATGCTTCAACGCTATGAACTGCTAAATACTAAAATTAAAATAGACATGAGACAGCTGAATAGTAATCTATAGCCATTTTAAGGTGTACAGAACCCAGCTGTATATAAACTAATAATTGTAATGTCAATGTAGAAGTCATAGGATGTGGTTCAGAACTTGCACTCTTTTTGTTTGTTTTATTTTGTTTTTCACTTCAAGTTTTTTAAAAGACATGTACTACTTGAACTGCCCATGTACTATATGCAAAACTGATGGAAGAATAAGAAAGAATTAATTATTAGATCTCATCTCTAAGCAAATGTGAGTAGATTAGATCAAGAATAATAAGTAGTTGAAATAGTGGTTCAGCTGGTATTCAGGATACGTGCACCCCATAGCAGAGGGTTTGTGTTTGAGTCCCACTTGTGCTTCTGATCAGTTTCTTACTAGCACACAACCAGCTGGGAGCAAGTGGAAACACAAGTGCTTAGATGTCTGAGGCTTCTGGATGGGGTTCAGGATCCTGCCCTTGTTCTGTTCCCATGCCAGCTGTTAAAGGCACTTAGGAATGAACCAGTACATGGAAGATCTCTGTGTCTGTATATCTCTCCCTGTGTGTGTCTCTATGACCTTCAAATTATAAACTATAAAAGTGAAACACAAAGGAAGACTGGTGGAATTGATCTCTTGAAAGAGTTAGGAGAATCTTTACTAATGGGCTAAAGAATGGGAGCCTGTGGACACATGAGGTTTAGGTTGTAAATTTGGAGGTGAAAGTTACAAGAGTTTTCTGGAGAAATCAGGCTCTTCTTTAAGATGACGTTAAGCAAAGGGCATCAGCTTGTGTCATCATTGGTACCAAGCAAATGATGCCTGTCCCAGACCCACACTCACCATGATTCCTTCCTGCCAGGCGATTCAGGAGGTAAGATTTTCCTGTGCGATACAATCCCACAATTGCCACTGCCACCACAGGTTGAGATATCTTGTGAAGAATTTCTAATGCTTTTGGATTCACCGTCAGCTGCTCCTCGCAATTTTCCACTAGACAGATAGGGGCTTCCATGGTGAATTCAATTGTCCTTGTAACCTGTAACACAGCAAAGCCATTCAGTAGGCTACAGGGTCATGAAATGATGTCTAGTAGTTGCTGAAGACAAATGCTAATGGTAGCACCATAGGAATATTAAAATCTGAGGAAAGCACAGACAAGATCTGATATAAAGCTGATGAGGAGAGGTCAGTAAGGACAAAGAGTGGTCTCGACATTCCAGTAAAATTATGGCTGTCATTAATTCAACAAATATGTTATGTTATGCATTCCTACTATGTACTGGACCTTGTTCTAAGTGTTCAGTATCACACAGTGAACAAAACTAACTTAAATTCTTGTTGATGGAACTTTTCTCACAACAGAGTAAATACATAAGACAATAAGAAAAAGAGAATATGTTAAATTACTGTTCATTCTCAGAAAAAAAATAAGCAGAGTCAATGAAGATAGAGAGAAATTGACTTAGACCATGGGTCTTAATGAGGACAGAGTGAGTAACTTGTGGAAGCGGAGCAGCCTGGATAGAGAAACACCAATAAAGATCAAAGGCAGATGAAGATGGTAGCTTCTCTCAAAACAGGAAGGACGATTGCATATGCTGGCTGGCACAGGAACCAAAGCCATGGGCCAGTCCAGTGGGGATTATTAGCAGCCTCTCTGACTGGGCTGCAGCTCCCCCTGGTGAGTGTGCTGGGCAGTACTGGACTAGCCCTCAGCACCCATTGGTTTCCAGAGGAAGGAGGCCAGAACAAAGTGAACAACTACCTCAGTGAAGCTTGACAGCAAATTTCTGGGTTAATGCAGACTCTGAGGTGGGCTGTATTAGCCAATTGACCTTGGAAGGCTCTCCTCATCCTTGGAGTGCTGTTATCAACAACATCTTATAACTATTGAAACCACTTGAGCAGAACCCTCAGAATATGCTCCACAATATGGACTCTGAAATGATGTCAAGTACTGAGGTGGATGGGAGGCTGGGCATGGTCTTGCCCATTGCGCCTCCATTCCCCCACCAGATACAGAAAGAAGAAAAAGAAATCGTCTAAGAAAAAGAAAAATGTGTCTGCAAAAACTGACAAAGAGATGGGAGGGAGTTAAGTGGATTGCAAGGGAGGAACCAGGGAGTGAGGGAAGTGTGGTCACCTTGGAGTTGTATGGAATACATTAAATTGGTTCGCTTGTATATTAATAAAAATTTTTAAAGAAAAAAAGAAAAGACAGTTTTAGAATAACTAGACAAATATAGAGGCTCAGAAACTATTCTTGTTTTATTTAACTAGCAGAAATAGACACTGCTTCAACACTGGTGATAAGGAAGAGAGGCTGGATGCTGAGTATCTAGGATCTGCCCAGGGCGGACAAAGCCCAAAACTCACATTTTTTCAGTGTTAGCATTGCAATAAGGAGAGCATGCTATAAACTTCAGAGACAAAGCAGACTGAGAGATTCCACTGTCACTGACTTTCTCAGAAACAATGTTAAGCAATATTCCCATGTTCAGCTCTCTTCACTAGTTGTATGATCATCATAAATATCATAATCCTTTCCTCTCTTTTTTTCCTCTCAATAAAATGGATATACTAATAAGTAACAATTTAGTAGTCATTACTTACCTTAAAATGCTCTTAAGTCATGCCCATGGTAGTTCTTCCTAAAAGGCACTGCTTAAAATTAGTGCCTAAGGATGCAAGCAGCATGATTCCTGGAGAATGTGAAGGACAAACTTTGTACAGAAACAGTGACACTGATCCCAGGGTGGGAGTGAGCACAGGCACAACCCACAGCAAGTGCTGACTCAGTGAAAAGGATGACACTGGGAGAACGGAAAAGAGCAAGAAGAATCCAGATCTGTCCCGGGATGTCACAGTGCAGAGGCTGGACTGCCACAGTGCAAACAGGAGAAAATCACCAGTTGCCTAGGAAATTTGGAAATGGATTTTACCTGTGTGAGTGAAGATTTTCTTATCAGTGTTTAAAGGTGAACAACAACGACTATCTGACTCATTATTGTGATGCTGGGAAAAACAGATACACAATGAAAAATACTTAAAAGTTGCATGATTAAAATATTTTTGGTAAAACGTATACATATACACTGTGGAATAGTTTTCGTCCATAAAAAGAATTAAATCCTGCCTTTTCCAACAAACTGGATGCAGCTGGAAACTATTACGCTTAGCGAAATAAACCAGCCCCCAAAAGACAATTACCACATGTTTTCCCTGAGCTGTGGTAACTAACACACAGAGTACAAAAAAGGTAACCTACAGAAATGAGATTGACACCTCAAGAACTGACTACGGCTTACAGCAGCATTTGTCTAAACTCTTTATACTCTTTGGGAAGTACAGGGTTTTTTTTTCCCCTTGGGGCTTTTTTTTTTTTCTACTTTCTGGTTGTTGAATTCCTTACCTAATGAAATGTTAAGCCTGTGACTGAGCTGTGAACTGAAATGACATCATGATAAAAACTTAGGAGAAAAAAAAAAAGAATGAAGGAAACGGGTGGAGGGGAAGCATCAATAGGTTCTCCAAACTGCATTGTGAGATATGCAAATGCGACCAATTTATATGAGTAAATTAATTTTTTTAGAAAAATTTTATATGAAATGATACTTTTTGTACAACGAACAAGAAAACATGTTGCTGCATTCCTCTAAGTTCTTTAAGATGAAAATTACCAAGAAATAATAAATATCCAGGATCTGCATTAGCTGAAAGGACCAATTTGTTTTTAACACTCTTTTTTTGTAATAGGTGGCTTGGAGAATCATTAGGGCAATGAAACATGAGCTGTTTATTGCTGTGTAATAAACCAGAGGAATTATAGAATGTTTACTAAGTAAATATTTTGATTTCTTGGAACAAAGAGATTAGTTTGAAGTATTTCTGTTTGTTCAGTTATTTAATGCAAAGCATTCTAGCTACCTAAATCAAGAATCTTCTTTTTCTCTTTTAAAAATTCATCTAACACAAAAATTTGTACACATTTGGAGTGCATGTTGTATGCACCCCATTAAATGAGCTGCTGGGATTGTTTCAGGAGTGAATCCACTGATGGAAATCTCTCTGTTGTTATTGTTTTGTGTGTGTGTGTGTGTGTGTGTGTGTGTGTGTGTGTGTGTGTGTGTGTGGTGTTTATTTCTGTTACTCTGAATTTCAAATAAATAAATCTTTTAGAAATTACACATGTTGGGCCTGGCGCAACGGCGCAGTGGTTAAGGTCCTCGCCTTGCACACCAGGATCCCATATGGGCGCCAGTTCTAATCCCAGCGGCCCCGCTTCCCATCCAGCTCCCTGCCTGTGGCTCAGGAAAGCAATCGAGGACGGCCCAAAGCTTTGGGACCCTGCACCCGCGTGGGAGACCCAGAAGAGGCTCCTGGCTTCAGATTGGTATAGCATCAGCCATTGCGCTCACTTGGGGAGTGAATCATTGGACGGAAGATCTTCCTCTCTGTCTCTCCTCTCTGTATATCTGCTTTTCCAATAAAAATTAAATAAATCTTTAAAAAAAATTTACACATGTTTTGGGGGTGTCAATACATGTACTCATTGTGTAATATCCAATCAAGTTAAACATACACACCTCCCAAACACTTATCATTTCTTTGTGGAAAAGCACTCAAAATCTATTAGTCTAGATATACATATTTTTAAGAAAATTAGTTGGCATTTTATTATCCTGCAAAAAACAGAATATGAGTTTGTACCTCTTAAATTACCTTTCCCCAGGCCTTACTACCTGCTCAGTTCCCAGTCTCTACGTACCACCACAATATTCTCAACCTGTATGAAATGAAATCCTTGAGATTCCACTCATAAGTGAGATCATGACGCACTTGTCTTTCTGTGCATGGCTTATTTCACTTAACATAATGATGTCCAGCTCCCTCCATGTTGCTGCAAATGCCAATATTCCATCGTTTTCATGGAGGAATAGTAATTCCTTGTGCCAAAAGATACTTGGAGAAATTGTTAGTTTTGCTAGTAACCAGGGAAGTACAAATGAAAACCACATGAGTGACCACTTCAATTAATTCAAAAAGCAAACTGGCTGGTCAACATGTGAGACAAAAAGGAAAATTGCCCATGTTGTTGATGGGAATGGAAATTAGAACAGCCATTATGGAAAACAGTTTGGAGGTTTCTCAAAAATCTGCAAATCAAACTCCCTTATGATCTAGGAAGATGTGAGATATCTAATCACTCAAGTTTACTGCAGCACATTTTACAATAATAAAAACACAGGAAAGCCTCAGAGTTCATCCACTGATGAATGCATACGTGAACTGCTACACACCCATCTACAATGGAACCCAAACCAATAAACCTGTCACTCCCTGGTAACAAGCAAACATTCCAAAGTGTCCTGTCCACCAGAATCACGGGGGCTGACGACTACAAATGTGTATGGGTTAAGAGTGCATGACTTGCACAAATTGCATTAGAATGAAGCTGAGGACCCTGTGGGAAGTAGCAAATGCGAGGCATTTGTAGTTATTTGGAATATTAAATGTGTTTTTTTTTTTTTAAAGTAAATGATATTTCTAGGATCATGCTCTTCTAAGGTCTTTTTCCTGTTTCTCCAGTGTCCTGCAGGGGGCAGCCAGGAAAGGTGTGAGCACAGAAGGGAGGCAAGGGGCAGTGGTGCGCAGCAGAATCTATCAGCGGCTGGATGTAGGTCGTGGGGTCCCAGGAAGGACTTGAGCCCCTTTGCGCAGAAGATGGTAGAGTCCGACTCTCTGCGTCGGCGCAGGACTCTGTTGCAGCCCGGGGTGGAAGCCAGAGAAGGAAACAAGCGAGCGCGCGACCGCCTTCTGGGACCCTTAAGGAGAGGCAGAGAGACCCTGACAAAGTGCCCATCTGGCCACATGCTGCCCTCCGCCTGCCCTCGCCCATCGCCCGTGCAGAGGCTGCCGTGGTGGGCGCTGTCGGTGAAGGGAAAGGACACAGACAACACAACGCACTCACCCAGCCAGGGAGCAACAGGCAGGACCAAGTTCTCTGCAGCCTGCTGCTGGCTCTCACCCTT